ACGCCACGCCACGCCACGCCAACGCCAACGCCACGCCACGCCGTGCCTCGTAGCGCCACGCGGCCTGCTGCCCGCGGCCGAAGCTTGCTGGTAGCGATTGTAAAGCAATAACACCGTGACGTCACCGCGACTTACTTTCGGGGATGGTCGCGCTCGGGCCGCGTGGCGAGCAGCCCGTTTCTATGTCAAGTGCAGAAAGCACCTGTTTTTATTTTCACGACGTGCGCATCTGTTTTGCGCGCCTCCAAGCTATAACTCTCTGGAAAAAAAAATAACACCAAAACGAAAGTAAGATTGCTCCATTGTTCGTTTGTTTAATTTTTTTATTATTCAACGAGCCAGTCGCGAATGACAGACGGGTTGCTGCACCACCGTCATCTGTTCGTCTTTCGTCGACACAACTTCTTTGCGCCTCTAATGGTTCCTTATTTTCATACAAAGGAAACGCTCGTGCAGCGCTCGATGCGATGTGGGTCCTGTACAGTCCGTCCTCACGAGCCTCAGGGCCGAGCGGGCGAGCCGGGGCGAGCCGAGCCGAGCCCAGACGTGAATCTCAATAAATCCAAAGGACTCGGTCAAAAATGTAAATGATTATCAATGCGACATGAAACGCGTCGCCGTCCTAACCGGCTGTCCTCGCTGCGTTCGGCATTAAATATCTCACTCACTCGACTTGTTTCTGCCTGAAGCGGCATTTTTATGAATTCCCATCGAAACTCCGATAAGAAGCGAGCCAAACAAAACTGGGTGCCGTTCATAGACACCCAGTCATAGACACTGTCGCCGCATGCATGTATGCGATCGAAATCGAAATCGGTATGCTGTTTTTCTTCTTCTCGTTTTTTTTTACAGAAAACTGTTCAAGCGCCCTTTAAAAAGAAAAAGAAAGAAAAGAAACAGAACGGGGTGATTGAATTCATTGAGTTTGTCTGTGCGTGGCTATGGATGACTGGTCGGCCCGCAAATTGAAGTCTCGTACTCGAGCGCACACCCGTCGCCCGGCACAGCCGTGCGACCGGGGGCAGAGACCTTCACACGTGAAGCGCAACCCACTGACCACTTTCTCTCTCTTCCACCCGCGGAGGAGATGCGGCAGAGAGGAACAGAGACAGGGTCGAGCCGACGCCTTGTGAATGGGACACGGATGGCAGGTATAGGGAAGATTTTGCACTTTTTTTCGCAGAACGTTGCATGCCACCGAGCTGTTATTTTCATCCAAAAAGCCGACGACGACGCTCTTGCACACTATTTCGATGTGGCTGGCGGGCCCCAGCGGCTGAGAAGGAGTGCGTGAGTAGTTGAAAACAAGTGATAGAGATTGTCCACAAAGCGCGTCTGTTTTTCTTTGATCTATTCGGCAAATTCGGGAGCTTGGCGCCTGCGAGACTCCGGGTAGGCCATCCCGCAGTACACGCATGCGCTGCAGACAAGAAGTTGCCTACTTGGCAGGCGGTATGAGAGCTTGCAGAGGCTGAACTATAAAGTTTCGTGACGGGCGTACTTTCCGGACGATACCTTGAGCAAATGCGGGGCTCGCTGATGAAAATATTGAAGGCAGGGCAGACCTGTCACACAATGCGCGATTCCTCTACTATAACCCGTCCGACGGGGTCCTCTTACGGCGGGGGTGTCGGCTCGGCTGTCATGCTTTACGTGTCACGGCCGGTGGGAGGACGACCAGGGTGACCCGTGGGAGGACCCTATAACCTTAAAGGAAATTGGGCAGGACCCGGGAGACGACAAATGTGTTGTTATGTTGTTGTTTCGGCTGTTGTTGTTGTTGCTGTTGTCCGTGTCCCGTACAAGGGAAAGGTTAAGCCCGTGCGCCCGCCATTGCGAAATACTTTCAGCACTCACACGACCCCAGATCGCTTGGCGGAGCGGGACTGCATGTCTAATGACCCTTTTCGACAACCCATCCAAAGGGGCACCAACTCCGAACTTTCGTGCACTGTGATAACACTCTGAAATAGTGAATATCACTCAATAATCACGTAACAATCGCTAATATCGACTGAATATTATGGATATTATTTTCCCCGTGAACCAGGGACTCCGGAGAATGCACACGAATGACGGGAGGTCATTTTATATTTTCACCTACCTATTATATCACTCTAAAACAAGTTGAATTTTCTCCCTTCGGATGCGACCTTCAAGTTGACGTGCGTGACGTCATCATGGCGCTCATGTTTGCCAGTCGGGTGCAATTAGAAATACGCATAGTGCGCGGCGCATCCTGCGCGGGCTAGGCTGCCGCCGCTGCCGCCGCTGCAGCCGAGGCTGGCGCAGGCTATGGCGCCCCTGCGGGCCCGGGGCCCGGGGCCCGGCCCGGCGGCGTGCTGTTGCAGCGGCGGCAGCGGGACCTCCTGTCCGCTCGCGTGAGCAGCTCAGTGAGGTGCACCCGGCCCGGGGACTATCTGTGTGTTGCGCAGGCCGACCGGCGCCGACCAGCACAGCGGATCAATAAAAGCGTAGTTGTTGTAGTGCGTCGGCGAGTTGTTCCCCTGCCGGGGTAACTTGCCGCGCCAGTGAGTGAGCAAGGTAGAAGAGGTAGAAAGGCATAATCATGTATGGTGATAAAATTGAATCGAACCGACAAGACCCTATAGTCGGACAAGCTCGAGTCATAAAAAAAATGTCGAAAACGGCGCTCTGTATTTCAACTGCAGGAGCTGCGAGCTACGCTGTTAAAAGCTGACAGTGATTTTCACCGAAAGCTACAGTGAAAGCCTGCAGCAGTAGCTTCAGTAGATTCACTGTAGCTTACACTGAAATTCACCGTAAGCTACGGTGAATCTCACCGTAAGCTACGGTGCTGTAGGCTTTAACTGTAGCTTACGGCGAAAATCAATGTAAGCTTTTAACAGTATGGTGACTACATGAGGGCGCTGACCGCTGACAGAGAGAGAGGAGCGTACCTAACGAAAGATGTGACCCTTTCCATATTTCCCACGGTGATTATCGAATATCGTCATTCTGTTTCGGACGCGCCACAGAGTCACACGCGTCTCAATCAAATGTCACTAAACCTTACGAGCTCCGTAATGGATTAAAAAAAAAATTACTTCGTATGACTGGTCCCTACCCTGCCGCACCGTCAGTTGGCCTATGGTATCGGAGCCAAGACGGGTCCAACGCTCTAGCCAAGGTCAGTGCAGCGGCGGCTGCAGCAGACCAGACCAGACGGCTCGGCTCGCCTGGCCCACGCGCTTACGGCTAGCCGAGCCGAGCCTAGCGAGCTATGCCAATGAGGCTGGCTATGGAGGCTCGCGGGCGCTGACCCGGTCTGGGGCCCGACCAGAGGGGACCAGTCAGCAGCCTCCCAGCGGTTGGCGGATGGCGGGGTGGCGCCGACGGCCTTCTTGTCGCTCAAGCCCGGCGTCCTCTTCATCGTCTCCCTCCCTCCCTCTCCTCTCCTCTCCCTCTCTCAACGATCGAATCTGGCGCAAATTTATGTTTTGCCGACCCACAAATTTTGCATGCTAATTGACCGGTCAGGGAGGGGCGGGGGAGGGGGTTGCGCTGTCGTCATTTTGATCTCTCCACAAAGAAGGTGTTAAGCCCCATTTTACACTCCATTTGTTTTGCGATCTTGCTTCTGCCAGCAAAACCCTCCTCCTGGCGCGACGAAGAGCTCTCCGGGGTTGCCAAAAAAAAAAAAATCCTTAGTTCATTCATGATTGTTTCGCTGTGCCATGTCGTCGGCCAGGAGCAGAGGCGGTATTTACAGTGGCGGTCAAATTGAGCAAGTGTGGCAGTGAGTGGCCCGGCTGCTCCGCAATGCTCCTGTGCAGAGAGAGGGGGGGGGGGTAAGGGGCCCTAGCCGCAAAAGGCGCCCGCCCCCTGCCTGGACCCAGCTGGACCCCCCGGGGCGTTACGAAACACTTTTCGGGGGCGCCGCCGCCTCGGTCATACGCCGCCGCCGACGTGCCCATCGACATGCTGCCCCCCCCCCCCTGCCCCTTTTCCACAGCAGAACTGTTTGTCGTTTTCGGCTGAGCAATGCCGCCAGGGAAGGCAGTTTCACATCTCTCCCCACACCAGCGACCAATGTCAAGGTCAGCGTCATGAGAAGCGTAATAATAATTCTGATAATGCGAGTGTCAGAGCGGTTTCCGAATAATTATCTATAAACAGCTACCTAATTCGATATCACTATGAGACACAATAAAAACTTTTCAAGTGATTCGGGTGTAACGCATTATCACCATAAGGACGGACTGTACTTGAGCGCCTGGAGAGCAGGCAGGCCTGTCGAGCACGCGCGCCCGGCGGGGCTGCCTACCGGGCCGCCGTCAGGCGCCGTCAGGCGCCGTCAGGAGCCGTCACGCGCTGTGGGACCCCTCCTGCGCTCAGGTCACCGCCCAGGCCGGCCATCCCTACAGCTCTGTCTGTCTGTCTGTCTGTCTGTCTGTCTGTCTGTCTGTCTGTCTGTCTGTCTGTCTGTCTGTCTGTCTGTCTGTCTGTCTGTGTCCTGACGACTTCCTCTGCTCATAGCCACGCTCCGCATAGCAAAGGTATGCCCCACACGCCACGCCGCGCCGCGCCGCTCCGCACGCTGAGCAGACCGCCTCCTGTTATGCAACAGACTGATGTGCGCGCTACCGAACGCAGCGCGCGACAAGTTTGGGCACTTTTGCACTTTTGCGAAGATGGGGCGACGGTACGGTGCTGTAACTGAGGCTGTAAAACAACGCAGCGAGAGACGGGCAGACAGCTGTCGGGTACGACCGTTAACAAAAAAAAAAAAAAGAAGTTTAAAGTCGTGGTACCAATGACTAGTACAGTTGACTGAATTGCGCTGGACCTCCTCGCACCTCGCCACTTCAAGTGGGCTTCAAGAAGCCCACTCAGTGAAGAAGAACGTTTCCTATTAAACAAGAACAACTTTCTCTATGTGTCACACACTTGTTTGTATGTTTGTTACACACTTGTAGCTGTCGAGCAGCCCACGGCATTGCACTCCTGAATAAAGCCCTCTTTCTCCTCCTCCGCAGTGAACGACGCCACGGGCAAGTACGGCGGCGGCTACTTCTTCGGCAACACCTACTGGATGGGCTCGCAGACGCTGTGCGTCAACCTGGCGCACAACACCTCGTCCCACAGGAAGGACGTCGGCCACCTGACGCCGCCCTTCCCGGCCGCCTTCTTTGTCATCAGGGCCGACCTCAGCCTCCCCGAGTCTGTCGCCGAAAACGTGAGTTACTGGGGACCTAAACACAGGTCATGACTACGAGGTCATGCTTACGGTGAAAACCGGAAGAGCTGCTGAAAATGGCACCGAGGAGTGCGTTAGTGATCCCAAACCGTACGTATTTACCCCCCCCCCCCTCCCTCCCGATCTGCTTCTTTGAGGCAGGCAATAGATCGAGGCTAGATGCTTCGGCCGCGGAAGGGGAATCCGTATTGTCGGTTCACTCTCTTCCGCTGCAGCAGGGAAGGGAAGCACTGCCATTTCCGGCAGAGGTCCACCCGACGGGGGCTCGCTCGGCGTGCCTCGTGCGGGCGATCTGGATAAGCAAAACGAGGTGGTTTAGAAGGAAATTAAAGCGCGAGCAGCGAGAGGGAGAGAGAGGGGGGGGGGCGAGAGTGAGAGTGAGATGGAGAGAGAAAGACTGAGCGCGTGCCCGCTGCGCTGTGCTTGGTGTTGGTGAGTGAGCACGGCAGCGCGTGGACCGTCCCATTAGCACCCCATCCTCCTTCTCCGCACACTGCCTGCATGTTTTCCGTGCAACGCAAAAAAAAATATAAATAGATGAAAACAGTTTGCGGCTCGGCTGGTGCTGATGGCACTGCCACTCTATTGCGTCCTTGTTTGACCTGCACCGCTTTGTTTGCGGGGACGCGTAACAGGCGCCCGTGTGGACCGAAGGCGTTAAGACATGAGGCAGATTGCAACTCTTGTGCGTGAGGGTGCGTGGCTGCTTTACATCGAGCTCACACACACACACACACACTAATGTCCGATGTCCGCCCCAACAACCTCCAACACCTCCACAAACGCCCCCTCCCTCCTTTTCTCCTCAAAGTTCTGAAAGATTGTATATTTTGGGTGAAAAACAACAAAAATCGCTGGAAAATTTAAAGAGAAGCTGCTCTTGTTTTGACTTTTACTCGTGTTTCCAGATGCGGACGGTGAACATGGGGCTGTGCCTGCCGGCGAGTTGCGGCGCCCGCGATATATCCCGCCTCATCGACCTGTCCGTGGAGACTGCCAACTCCGTGGACCCCCGGGCCGCCAAGGCCAGGTCCTTCAAGGTCACCTCTGTGCGCACACCCTCCACCGAGTACCTCTTCTGGGAAGACTCTACCTTCTGGGTCCTTGTGTAAGTTCAATTCTATAATATACATTTTTTGTGTTCTGTGAGGCAAACGTCCATGGGTCAGACCATCGTCCTTGGGCTATACACTCTAAATGTCAAGGACAATTTTTGTAACTAGCACCGGACTTCTGCGTGCATAACTGGAATCAGATACAATATTGTGACTTGCTAGTCACTAAATGTGTGTTGGTAGTTACAATATTGTATCTGAGCTAGTTATGCACACAGAAGTCCGGTGCTAGTTACAAAAATTGTCCTTAGACATTTAGAGTGTACGGCCGGATTGCGTTCTTAACGGATTTCCTTTTCGCTCTGAAGGCTCTGGTTGAGAAATCACCCTGGGCACTGCGATCAGGTGAAAAGCAGCATGAAAGCCGTGCTAGGTGAACATTCCAAAATGGATTCAGGAAAAGAAAATAACTCAATTGATTTGACTTTAGTGCCCTTTCTCGGGCTATATAATGCGAAGTGCATGCGCCACATTTTCAAAACTCTAAAACGACGCCAATGGGCTTAGGTTGTCCCTCGATCCC